ATTGTTTAATGCTTTGGTGTTACGTGCTGACTGACTGACTGACAGGTCCGCGATGCGTGAGGCCAGCAAACACGCAGAAGCTTTCAGTTAAGATGAACACAGTTTCTACAGTTATACTTTATTTATTTATAAAGTATGACTCTGTATATAATGACTCTATCTTGCTGGAGTTTATAGCCGTTTCGCTTTACTTCAGGACGCATTCACATCGCTCTGATGGTCTAATCGCTGTTTTAAGTTATCCAGAGCTGTATGAATGTACAAATCTTGAATATCACAATATTATTAAATATTACAATTGTAACAACACAGACAGCAACACTTTTGCATAATCGATACCCAGCTGATTCAGTCGTTTCATAAGAGGACCAGGCGCGCTTCTTCTCTTCTGTTTTCCTTGTCTACATAAAGGCAGTGAGGTGCGGCTTGTTTTCGGCCACTTGTTCAACTGCAAGACATGCTTAACTTGCGGGATGATAACGTATAACCCGTGCCTACAGACACATTTGCCAAAGAAGCAAAATGGAAGAAGAATATTGCTGTTTGATACAGACGTGTTGATGCCAAACCAGCGCTGATGTTGACCTGGATCTGCGTCAGAAACGCAACAAACAGGCTTTACCTTTTATTTTACAGCTTATAAAGCATGTACGCAGATTAATGCAATATCATATTTAAACAACAAAACTGTTTACAAAAAGTCAACATATGCGCGTGTTGTTGTCTTTTCATCACGCAGCGCGCACGTGAACCGCGATGAAGAGAAAGGAAACCACGTCAGGACATATTTTTTTAAATGATGATTTCTATTAAAAATGTAAAAAGGTTTTGTGATTATAATAACAACAGCGGGGCATTAAATAAATGCATATTTTCCATGGAGCGAGCGATTTGAGGAAGTCTGCTATTTTTATTTGACGGAAGAAAAAAACATATGATTGGAAAAAAACAGCCCATGCCGGTTATTAAAAATAATCAGTCAGTGTTTTCGTTTTGTAATAAAAAAATATTATTTAAGTGAAAATAATTTAGGGCAGTCCTATTTATTTATTCATTTTATTTAGTTTATTCTGCTCTTCTGTGCTAAACACTGCAGGTGCGTGAAGATGCTCTGTTGTATTGTTCTATTATTAATATGCTAGCATATAAAATAAATCAGTATTTTATGCAATATTTAATGTGTCAGACACAAAATAGACGCGTCAATTTGTTTAATATAAAATTAATAGTAATCTGACCAGTTAACCGTTAATAACCGATTAATGAGCGGCGGTTGTCGATAGCAAAATTAACCGAAATGAGCATCCCTAGAACAAACTGAGTATGATCAGCGAGACATGACTTAAACCATAAAAGAGGGGTGCCAGAGATCCCTAGTGAGGCAAGCCTATTCAAAACAGCCTCGTGTAGAACCAGTTTAGGACCATGATCTGTTCACACTGCAGATCCAACACAATCTCACGGCAATTCGTAACTTTTTGATTTAGTGGCTAATTCGTTTGAATTCAATCCAATTCGTACAATTTAGCATGATGTGCTCATCCCCCAATGACGGTTGGGGTTAGGGGTGGGGTTCGGTGCCACGCCTAAAATTGTACAATTTCGTACGACTGAACTCGTCTGAATTCGTATGAACAAATTAGCCACTAAACTGGCAAAACGTAAAATACTTCGGTTTCCTCGTAAGATCAGGCTGGCAGATCTGATATTGGCCACATTTATCAGAGCAGTGTGAACAGCCATGCACAAACATCAGATCTGAGAACAAATCCGATTTGAGCAGTGAGCCTCGCGGTGTGAACGTAACCGCAGCGTTTCATTTCTCAATATCTAAAAATAAATTTGAATAAATGTTGAAATAAATTAAAGTCTTTTCAGATCTTTTTGACTAACGCTCACTGCACTTTAGCAGTAAGAAGCTACGATGCTGACTATTGAGCTGAAGCTTGGCTACAAAATTAAATCGCAAATCAAGTCGCAGTATCTGTCAAAGGAATCGCAAGTAGATGTTTCCCCTGAATCGCACAGCCCGAGTGTTGGCATGAAGTCATCTGCAGCTCAACATTCTGCATTTAGCTTTCCTCTTGTATGAAGGCTCTGAACTTTAGAGATTTTATTAGGTCCAAAAATTTAGAAAATCAAACCCGGTAAAAAAAAAATGATGAGGGACGAAAGTTTCAGAGTCAGTGTGTCAACAACCGTAACTGTTAGAGCCGATTTGCTTTAGTTTCTCTTGCTATTTTGCCTAAATGCAGACATGTACAGTAGTCAACTTCTGAAGTGGGTATAAAAAATGTGTGTGTGTGTGTGTGTGTGTGTGTGTGTGTGTGTGTGTGTGTGTGTGTGTGGTCACGTGATGTGCGTTTTCAGCAGATAGAGGGCTGTTCAAAAATGCTAGGTAAAACACGGTGTGGATGTGGATAATTTTCATTCTAAAATTACATTTTAACACTTAGACGTATTAGTGTAAACAGGGCCTAAGTGTGTATTTTTCAGAGATATTTGAAATACATTTTATAAACAATATGTTTAGTTCAAACTGCTTGGATATTTTCTACAGAGAACAAATAAGATCTTTTATAAAGTGTTCGCTTTAACATCGCCTTGAAAGTTTCAGCACTCCAGTCTTTTTCAGTGATTCATTTACAATAGATGCCAGTTTGACAGCCATATATTTAATATTCAATCAAATGTTATAAAGAGGTTATATTGTTGATATATTGATTATTGTGACAGGCCTAATCTTAAATATGTT